AGAGAGAGAGAGAGAGAGAGAGAGAGAAAGAGAGAGAGAGAGAGCGCGAGAGAGCGAGAGAGCGAGAGTGTGTGTGTGTGTGTGTGTGTGTGTGTCTGGGATGGGTGGCAGGGTTGCAGATAAGGCTCAGATAATTTCTCTCTCAGGATTATCTTCACTCTGAAAACCAGAATTTATAATCTCACAAAATCAGATTTTCCTTTTAGATATGTATTCTTAATTAAACGCACAATCTCTTCCTAGTAAAACTTAAAAAACAAGGAAAATGATATCTGAACATGTTGGGTACTTAAAAATGTTTTTGTCCAGGCTTTAGCTCAATTTAGAATAAAATTATTAAGTGTTCTAGGTGTAATTACTCTAAATGCAATAAAAAATATTGTTTAAAACAGTGACTTTAACTCAGTTGCTTCTCCCTGAGAATGAGAGCTAAAGTAGATCAAAGTGAAATCAAATAATATATTTTTTTTAAAAAGCATTAATTTATATGAACCATTTAGAAGAAATCATTAGAAATATGTAAAAGCTTATTTCAAAAGAGATCATAACAGAAAAATAATTTGACTTCATTTCAATATAATAAAAGCTAAAATTTGTTAATTGCCTGAAACTGACACGGAGCTTTCCTTGAAAGCAGATATTGTGTGGGTGGACATGTTGATAACCCTGTTTGGAGTGCTACAGTCTTATGAGGTTGCCTACCTATGAAGTTCAAGATTCCACATGCTAAACATGTCCAAATGACCTTTTATGTTCTATTTCACCACTACACAATTTCATACTCATTCCATTCAAAGAGAATGTCCAACTACGGTTGCATTTTTCTAGAGAATGACAAGATCTATGCCAATTAACTGTCTCTTTTCTAACATAGGGATAATTTGTCAACAACTACTATGTGCTATATTCTCAATTATTTTATCATTCAGCTGCATCATAGACTGCTAACAGCATTTCTATATTAAAAGGCATTGAGGCTGGGACTTTTAGGGGCTGAATAAGAGCCTGTGCTTGGGTATACCATGTTTTTAACTGACTCTATTTGGAGTCCTACCGTAATATTTTTCTTTTCTTCTCTGTGGAATAAAGAGAACATTTTATGACCGCCAGGTGTGTACTATTCCCAGCAAAGAAAGTTCTTATTTCCCTTCTTCTTCCCAGGAAATTTTCTTTAAATTTTATCCTGAAACTTGGCTGGCCTTTTGGTCACTTGGCCCCCAAACACCAAGTCCTTGGTAATATCATCTGCCTGTTCTAATGAGGAAAACCAAGGACGTACTTGTGTATTTAATACCCCTTAGTGATCAGTGAGAGCTGGTAGCACTTTTAGAGATGGTTTAATTTATAAAATCATTCACAGGCAAGGAACATGAGGGATAGAGATTTTAGTTGCCATAATCCTCAGAGCTCTTCTGTATCAGAGCTAGGATTAGAATTCAGGTCTTTAGCACTTCAAAACAGTAACGTTTAAGAGGAGTAATACAGAATAGCCCATATATTTAAAACAAATGCTAATTTCTATTTCTGTTTGAATGCAAGATGATTAAAACAGGCTCAAATGCATGATATATTTTTATAAAATCAATGTTCCACTATTTTAATAAACATTATTAAAGGATTTCAATTAACCTGTAAAAAGATACAAGACAACCTCAACAAAAAGCCTATGTTTATCCAATTAAAAAAAAGAGTTCTATGCCTCTAGGTTCCTCAGAGCAACATCAGAATAGGGGCTGAGTTTTATCTCATCTACTTTATCTCCAAATGGCAATTCTAGATTAGACATGTAAAGTCACATCCATCATTAAAAAATTAAAATGACAGTGAACCTTGGTTATAATTTGCTTATTTCCAATAATGTACTATATAGCCAATGTCATATAATTTAAATATCAATGATACTAATTTTTAATATATGTGTCAATGTTATTAAAATAGCCATATAAACTTCGTACTGTGTTTGGAGTCAAAAATATACTTTAATGCTTCTAACATGAACAACAAAGTTTCCTTGGTAATCTCTACTTACAGAAGTGGCAGCAATAAACATTAATAATCTTCTAAAATTTAGATTAGTTACTTTCATTGCAAAACGTTTAAGTGATCACACCGTAACTCAAGTTTTTAGGTCACTTGAAACAGTATGCTCTGGGAACTCATTGGTAAACTTTCCAAAGGGCATTTAATGCTGGCACTGACTTGTTGGCTATTTATGCTCGTTGGCGGGGCATACAACTCTGAGTATAATTGCAAGTGGTTTCTGATTTCCCGCCCCCCCCACCCCCCCAACCCCCCCCCCCCCCGCCCTGCTCCACCCTGCCAAAAGAAGCTCTTAATGCAGAGAATGTTGTCTCCATTCTGAATAAATCTTTGGCATATTTTCAAACAGAAAAGCACTTTAGTCATTATAATCTGCCTGACCTACTATGGCCCTAAGAAACTTTGTTGGCTAGCACTATGGGCTTAGAATATAGAATAGAACATACTCTTCCGGAAACTATTTTGCAGAGTTCTTGGTGGCATTGCCTAAATACCACACGTTGTCAAAACTGTCTGATTAAACATGTAATCCCTGAACCTAAATTCATTCTCAAACAGGACTCTACGGATTTCAGAATGATCCCTACCACTCTAACTTCTTTTACTGTTTCTACTATAGAAATCTGTCAATCTATCTCAATATTCCTATGACAGTGTTGAATTTTTCCATTTTGAATCTTATAAATTTGGAGCACAGATGTCACCAACATGAAGTTACTGCATACAAGGCTTGAAATCTTTAGAAACCAAAGTATTCTCTAAAACAATGTTCCTCAAACTTTAATATGCATAAAAATGACCTGAGAATCTTGCTAAGACGTAGATTCTGATTCAGTAGGGCTGGGGTGAAATCTGAGATTCTTCATTTTCAACAAGCTCCTAGGTGATGCTGACACTGCTAGTCTTCTATAGCAAGGCTCTAAAAGACACACCACATAAAATCAAGCAGTTGACTTATGGCAACTTATTCTTTAAGATGTGTAGTTCTAAAGCATTTGTGAAAAATATTTTCCTCCTACCTTATACTAACTCTTCACTTAAAGAGAATCAGGTGGGAAGGGGAGGGGTTGCCAAGTGTGGACACACAATGGAGAAATGTTCCTCTTTTCTACCAATCTGAAACTTTGCAGGTCGGCTCAAAGAGGCTAAGTCTTAGAGGTTTACATGACCATGTCTGCATACTAAACTGGAGGAGTCGTTCCTGAAGCTATGCCAGGTTTATCAGCGTCAGCTCCGATGGAATGGTCATAGGAGACAGATGATGATGCCTGGGATGACTTTCTATACCAAGTCTTTGTAAGATTTTCAGAAGATACCATTATGAATATAGATACAATTAGATGCATTTATATGCAAGTTTGTAGATACATATGGATGTGTATGCATATGTACATTTATGTGTGTTTACTCCAGAACAGAAGAAAGGAAGAGGACACAATTTTTTTAAACCAACATCACAGAGAAGACTACCAACACATAATTATAACTGGGTTTGCATTTCCTTCAATGGTTTCCATCCTTGGTCCCACCTGTTATTTAATCATATTGTTATAGCTATTGCTTGACATCTTGTCTTTATCATCTCACCTATTTATTGCCTTAGACAATATTTCCTGTTTGTGGCTGTCATGGAATTCAATTTCAGTGAATTTCACCAGCTAAGTTGCATGAACCTAAAAAATGTTTAATATGACCATTGGGTTAAATTATCTATGCAGTATACAGTTAGTTACTTAGTGCCAGGCAAAACAAATTCTTTATTATTTCATACCTTCTAAACTTTTTCCCATTAAAATTAATGACATGGTAAGAAAGTATAGGAGAAACGAATTCAACAGCTAGTTCTTTTTTCATGGTGAAAGACTATACCACAGTGAGAAACGATTACATTTGACTTTGGAAAACTGTCTTCATTTAATTTGATTACTGTCCTGTTATAAACAGATCACTATTCTGCAATGGGATGTTAAATAGGAGTATATTCCCTATCAAATATTAAATACCATGAAAATTTTCTCTCTCGAATTGGAGCAACTGCATTCCTTAAGAGCATTTATGAATCAATATTCATACAAGAATAAATATCCCCTATCTGCAGAAGGTGTATAAGAAAATCAGATTAAAGTTATTACCTTTACAAGAATTTAATGTTAAATTACATTTTAAAGAATTCTCAGCGGAGCTAAGAATCAGGCAGGTAAATTCTACATTGTTTCCACGTACTTAGTAGACATAATATACATTTCATTATTTGCATGTATAAACCATTAGCAGTAAAAAAGAAATGAACACACAAAACATTTGTCCCTGCAGTAATCATACATGCTGTATAACCTTGAAAAATGAACTAGAAAAATCCATTTTTAAGAAGCCACACTCAGTACTTTATATGGAAGATACAAATACAATAGCCAATGGATTAAAAAAAAAACTGCTGCTTCCCAAGCATGATTTATGATATTGTTATTACATTTAAATAAAAGTAACCTCTAAGTTCTATTTAGAAATAACTCTCTGAATTGCTACCTAGGAGGAATTTAAATGGATTTATATTTGGAGCTGATATATTTGTATACAGATCTGAAGAGTATTTTCCCCTTGTTTATCAGTAATCTGGGAATCCTGTTTGGAAACACCGGTTTTTAATCATACATTTAAAAAACTGGAGAGTTGTGCTGAGTATTTTATCTTGTGGTATGCACATAAATATATGTCTGTATTATACCACTGTTAAAATAAGAAATGTCTATTTTAACTCTTGGTCATCAGTTCCTCATGGCACTGGTACCATTAACAAGAGGTGTTTTCCTAACCTGATTAATCATACATCACCTGGGAATTTTATATATTACCTAATTCATATGGATAAGAACTCATACTAAGAAATAGGTGTACACACACACACACACACACACACACACACAAACACATACAAAGCACCAAGATCCAAAACTCTTGAAAAGGTTTTTATTAATTCACAATGACATTAATGACATGTGACACACTGTGCTGCATAACTGCTACCAACAATTTCTCACATTTAAAGAAACCGTATAGATTTTCCTAATTCTGAGGTTCTTTGTGAGATGGTGCCATCCCTTAACTTACTGAATTTTTACCTATGATGGGATAGAGTCAGAGCACAGAAGAATGGGATTCAACTGTCAAGAAAACCAGCCTCATAACCTTAGACTGTGGTCATGACTCCCACATGTACATTCTGTTAAGCCTGAGTCATTCTTCATGGTTCATGATCCATTTTTAATTGTAATAGTAAATCAATATTTGTGCAGTTATATAATATGCTGCCATAGATTTGAACTAAAACTATGACTGCTTTGCTTGCATATCCATTTATAAGTCCTGGATGGAGTTGTAACAGGGCTTCACTGTTTATATGATTAAATTTATAACGCATTTGATAAAATGTAAGTTTAATACTTGGCCTTTGTGGTACGTCAGTTAGTTTTCTTTTAAGTGGTAATGTATAACACCAATTACGTTTTAGACAAATGATATATATGACCAAAAATTACCTTCAAGAACATGGAAATGAAGAAAGTACTTATAGTTACCATCTAGAAAATACAAAATGATTAGTTTCATTGAAGTTTCCTGTTAGATGTAGGTACCAAAGTAGTCATTTGTTTTCCATCTTTTAATTAATTAATAGACCAATATATGACTTTATGAAACCGATTACTTTTGAAAGTATAATATAATGGCTGACATATTTTAGCTCTGATTTCTATCAAGAAACCTTAGAAATATACTAGCAGCATGAGTCCATCCTTGCTGATAGGAAAAGCACTTATCCACGGGAGATACATTCATTCTTGTAGTGCAGCACAGTACCAACTGATAAATCATCCACTCTGGGATTTGATGTCAGAGGCTAAAAGGACTCCTTTTGTTCTAATATTAATATGTTATTGTTGGGGAAAGCTCAGCTTTACAACATTGTAATTACAATGTCTTTCTAATTTTTCTCTTTCAGTGATAATGACAATGGCAGCAAACGATAAAGTTTATGTTCCACATCAAATATTCCCTTGCTCTGTTGAGCACTGTCTCCTTCTAATAATTTACCTCTCTCAAAACCCCCCAAAATAATGCAGGAAGCTGCAAGAAAAATAAAGTGTGAGATGTTGCAACTAGATTACAAGTATCCATGATGTCTGTAATCAATTGTTGGAAAGAGACAAATTCAGGTTGCCCACCTTTTGCCTTGGCCTCAAAAGATGCCTGATTCACCATGATTCTTTTATTGCTAACTCCCTGCCTTTCTCCTGGATACCATTGGTGCAGGCCTTCTGCTTTTGGTGAACTTGCTATATTTATTTATTAGTTCTAAGAGTTTTTGGAAGATTCTTTGAGATTTTATAGATAGAAAATCATGCTTTCTGTAAACAAAAGCATTTTATTTCTTCTTTTCCAATCTACAGAACTTTTGTTTCCTTTTCTTGTCTTATTCACTAGGTAGGACTTCCAGTACAATGTGGACTGAGAGTGATGAGAGAGGACATTCTTACCTTCTTCCCAGTCTTGGGGTGAAAGTGTCCAGTCTCTCACCATTAAGTATGATGTTAGTTATAGTTTTTTTGTAGATGCTCTTTATCAAGTTGAGGAAATTTCTTCTGTTACTAGTTTTCTGTAAGTTTTTAAAAAATTATCATGAACACATACTGAATTTTCTCAAATGTCATTCCTGAAGCAATTGATATAATCATACGATTTTTCTTCTCTTGCCTGTAGATATGGTGGATTGATTGATTTTTGAATATTGGACCAGCCTGCATACCTGGAAAAAATTCCACTTGTATGTGTAAGTTTATTTATTCACTGTTGGATTGGATTTGTTAGTACTGTGTTGAGAATTTTTGTGTCTACATTCATGAGTGATATTGGCCTATAGTTGTATTTTAATATCTTTATCTGGTTTTAGTACACTGTGGTATACTTAGGGGACAATGTTCATGTAGAAGATGAATAGTTGCTGATTGACTGAAATATACCAAGATGATCCCCTAAATCAAGAAGAGAACTGAGGCGTTGCAGCACAACCTGGGAGTGCTTATTGGCAGCACTGGTTGCTGTCTATTAGTGAATGTCTCTGGGAATTTTTTTTCCAGAGAAAGACGTGTATGGATTTTTCTAAAACATTTTGCATTGGTTTCCTCAGGCTGCTGTAACAAAGAACAGTCGGTCTTCAGTAGCTGCTGATGCAGAACCTGTGGATAAAGGAGGGTCCCACTGCACCATGCTATTTTATGTAAGGGATTTGAGCACTGGTGGATTTTGGTATCTGTGGGGGGAGGAGGTATCCTGGAACCAATCCCCCAGGGATACTGAAGGAGGACTATACCACAAACTGGATGGCTTAAAACAACAGAAATTTCTTCTTTCTCAGTTCTAAAGGCTAGAAGTCCGAAATGAAGGCATCAGTAGGACCAGGCTCTCTCTGAAGTCTCTAGGGAAGAATGCTTCATTGCTCCTCTCACTTCTGGTGGTGGCCACCTCTGGTGTTGTACGGCTTGCAGCAGCTGCATTACACCAACCTGCTTCTGTCATCACTTGGCCTTTTCCCATGTGTCTCTTCTGTGTCTCCAGGTCTGTCATGGCCTTCTTACAAGAACACCAGTTGTGGATTTAGGGCTCACCCTGACACTTCAACCAGTACAGTCCTCTAATTGAATAACAAAAAAAGTCATACAGACACATTTTATTGTGGCCTCTAACTTCCTCTCAGGGAGCTCCCCGCATACGTTTCCTAGATGTGTAGGAAATTCATACTGCGAGGGAGGATAACAAAGCTGACTCAGTTGCCTCATCCCGATGTTTGGCTCTTTTTCCCCCTCTGGTCCTATATTTCCCAACACTTAGTGGAACACAGCAGACAAATCTTTCAGGTTCCCACATACCCCATTTCCTCACAAGAATCTATCGGGGATTTTTGGTGGGGGAAATGTTCTTATTTAATCTGATAACCTAGACGAGGATGTGAGGAGAAATTCTATTACTCCCTTAAAAAGAATAGAAACGAATAAATGGGCGTTTAGGAGGCATCTTCTAGAGCTGCGTTAACTTGAATCAAAGGTAGGCCTTTGAGGGTCGGCATGGCAATGGCTGCTAGAAAAGACACTTTGGAGCAGATGGGCATTTAGCCTTTCTGATCCTGCCAGGTACCTGGTTTCCTACTTTGCATTTCCAGCTGCCCTGCTTGCCAACAGCCTGTTTGTATGGAGGTTTGCATAATACTTATTACAAAGAAAGGCGGCTTTCTGGCATCATTAAAATAACAAGGGTTACAGATTACTTGCCATGGATAAGCTTCCTTTGTATTTCATCTTGTGAATTTTTATCTTCAGAAGATTTTATTATATGATTTTTAATACTAATATAAGATAAAATGTCATTTTGTAGTTATTGGATCAATAAAGTTCTTGCAAAAGAACAGTTGCTGAATGACAAAGGGAAAAGTTTATTTCATTAGCCAGCTCTGGAGCTGTTATTTCACAAGTATTGTTATTAAGTGAGTTCTAAATGGGAAAAGAGACATAGCAGGGAGCCATCAGAATACAGATGGGAAACTTCAAATTATGTACCTATTATTGTTTTGGTTTAAAGAAAAGTCATCAATTTTTCCAGCAATGCCTATAGTTAAAATATGTTTTAATTTCACTAGGTTTTTATTACGTTAACTGGAAATATATGCACACAAACGTTCTTGTCTATACAATTCTTTCTGTCCCCTTGTCCTCTAAGGAGGATAGGGTGTTAATTCTATGGTATAAAAAAGAGGATCCAAAGAAGTGGATTTGCCAAGTCCTGGCTTAAACAAATGAAATTTCTGTTGAACAGAAGGAAGAGCTATCTGGCCAAGCAGACTCCAGAATCAAAGACTTGTTCATCTGGAGGAGTGTCATGCATCCAACTTTCACCCCCAATTTTGGGTGGTTCATGATGTTATATAAACTCTCACCCACATAAGGAATAATGGTGTGGGGATTCTTGAGGAAAAGCCAAATTAGCAGCTTTGTGTTTCCATTTTGAGGCTGAATTCATGCACAGCTGATAACATTCAAATCTCATCTCATGTGAAGACAGAGGAGAAAATGAATTGTTGTTGCTTTGAGCAGGACACTGTTTCATTTCGTGAATACAAATTTTTTGGCTGTTTGATGCAGCTCAAGATTCTGCTTATTATAAATGGAAAACAGTCTGTCGTGCTTTGGCATTTGCATTGACATGCACAATATCAGAGTGTACTAGGAGGAGATATTTTATTTTGTCTCAGCTAACTTACTTCATGGACACGCTTAAAATACTGTACCTACAACAGGAATGTCAAAAGCTTCAGATGGCAATTTCTAGTAAGGCACGGTCATGAATAAAAATAAACAGAGTGGAACAAGATGCAATATTTTTTCCTTCCTTCATTTGGAATTCAAATAATCTAATTTTTTGGATTTGGCTGTTTTTAGATTTACACTTATGAATGAAAAGCCGGTTTTAAATAAGATCAGTTCGCACCCAGATGACTGAGCTCCAGCTACAATAAAATATTGATAATTTGTGCAATGTTCTAAAGAAGTACATAAATTCTGGTTTTGGCAGTTGGGACTTAGTCACTGAGAGGGGAGACACCCACTTCTCCACTCCACTGCCAGAGCCAGCCTATGTCTTTAAGTTTAAAGTTTCAACTGGGGTGCAGCCCAGAGGCTCTGGAGGATTCTCACTTAAGTGTGGTAGGTTAGGTGAGGTTAGAACCTGATTCTGACTGGTTAATGTCCATAACAAGAAAGAATAATCAGGCGACAAATAACATCTTTCTCTTTTGACATCCCCCCACCCATCTCTCCAAAAAAGAAAAAAAAGAAGAGACAAATCAAGCTATGCTTATCTTTGCTTACCTCTGACAACAATTCAAGAAATATTGAGTGTGTGACTATGTCTTAAGTGCTGGGAGTATGATGACGAACGGGGCTGTCACAGATTCTGCTGATAAGGATCTCTCGCTCTAGCCAGGAGACAGATGCTCACATGTGCGATTCCAATGCAACTATTAAGGGACGTGACATGATCAGCTCAGGTGCTGACAGGGCACATAGCAGGAACATCTACACTGGACTTGATGGGTCAGAAGGCTTCCTGGGAAGGTTGTGTCTCCAAAGGACCTGGAAGGATAAGCAGGAGTTAAGCCGCATGAAGTTGGGTAGAAGAGAGTAAGGGAGTTCTGGGAAGGAGGGCTGGAGAGAAGTAAGATCATGACAGGGTAAAACCTGAAGTTAAGTATCGCTTTATGGGGGGATTGGAAGGGATGGAACAGAGGCTGGGAATGGAAGCATAGGTAATTAAGGACCTTGTGTGCTACTTGAAGAAATTTAAGGGTGAAGTGGTTAGGAGGTTCTTGCAATAATTTACTTTAAGCCTGTGTCTTAACTATAAGTGATGATTAGCATTATTGAATGAAACAGCTAAATTTTCCTGCTTCTTTTTCCAAATACCTTAGATATTATAGAATATGCAAAGATTCAAATGTAAGGATTCCTATGGTAAGTTTCTCCTGGAATTGAATGTAAAAAAACTTTACCATCAAATGTTTATACATCCTTTTATCAGAAAATAAAAACTGGAAAAAATAATTTTGCCTTATAGGAAGCTCAAAACACATTTTGTGTTGCATTCCTTCAAGGTATCGAGTATATATTCTTTAAAATTTCTTTTGGTCATTTTCATTTTCTTGTTGAAAAGTGTTTTGATATTGCTAACTGTCCAGAATTTACTCTAGAAGTAAACAGGTATAAATCATGTATATATCTCAAAATAGAAACATCATGTCCATTTCCTAAGTTTTTCATTTTTAACCAATACTTTTGGTTCATACTTTCATAGGGGGAATTTTTGATCAAGACAAAAATGTTAACAGAAAGGATAATCACACTGAAATTAAAGTATAACCAAAAGAATAAGTGAATAGCTAATTATTCTTCACTGCTGTGGGGATTACTAGATAGTCAATAGCCCAGAAGAATATGTAGGTAGGTAAGTGGGTAGGTAGGTAAATGTATGGGTGGATGGATGGATAGATGATAGATAGATAAACAGACAGACAGATACACAGCTATCTGAACTATAACATGAATATCAGCATAATGTTTTATCCCAACATTTGAGCTCTAGGTGTATATGTATACAAATATATGATATATATAAGGTATATACATAAGCTATATATATCAGATATATGTATAAACCTTAAGCTTGATATAGAAATCAAATATATCAGGGACTTTATATGCCTTCTTTGGTCATCACCATGGATATATGTATATCCCATCCTGCTCCCCAAAGGATTAACATGTACTGGCATGCAACAGGTAAAGCAAACCAGTAATTCCCAGGCCCTAACAACCCCAAACCAAAAATTCAGCCAAGCTGGAGTTACTCAGTTTTCCTGGGTCTCTCTGATGTACACATGCTATTAAACTTCTGTTTGATTTTCTCCTGTTAAAAGAAACTCAACCAAGCTGACAAAAAGGGATGGGAGATCCCACTAAATTAACAAGAAAGAGATAGAGTGAGACAAGAATTTGTTACCTGGTCCTGCTGGCCCTCTTTGGACATAAGTAGGTTTTACTCTTTAGCTTCAAATGGGAATAGCAATTTGGCAAGATATGCACAATACTTGAAACTGGACGAAAAGGACAGGAGAATTAAGAGACTATGAATTCCCTAGGATGCTGTATATATAAGCTTTTAATAGGTTTCTGTCAAAATTTTTAAGAAAATTAAGAGATTAAATTTTTTCATTAAATTGAATACACAGCACAAGAAAATATATGCCAACTTTTTACTTAGCCACACATTTCACATCTTTGGTTAATATCCAGTAACTTTTTAATACCAACTTGAATATATTAAATTTAAATATTTTTATTATTTGTAGACAGGCTTTACAGCAACATAATTAATGCCTCCCCTTCATCAAAAATCTATAATGAATATTCTTTCAACTAAAGATTTTACCCTAACATGACAAGACTACATTTAAAATCTAAAAACAAATGCCTCTCTTATACATGTTTATTTTTTAAAGGCACTAAAATGATGATCCTCTTTTCTGAATAATATATTTCAGAAAGGCACAGAACATTCTTCAATATTACAGTGGTAATTATAAGAAAAGGATAGAATTTATCTTGTCATCCTATTATATACTTTTTCTCTCCCAAGATCTTACTAAATGTATCCCCCTGAGTTTAATTTCAAGTCTTTGAAAAAGATATAGTCTTAAGAAATTAGAAAGGAATTTAAGCTCCAATTCAGAAAACATCATTTTCCTATATGGAAATAGTTGGAAATCACATACTAACACCATCCTTTAAGTTAATATTCAAAAGAAACAATATCTGAAAGAAAACAGTGGGCAGAAGGCAGTGTGATGACAAATTACAGTAAGCAATACAATTACCCTTAGTCTTCATAGAGTACTTTCCATTTTCCAGATCTTTACAAGACATGAAATGAAAACCTTCAGTTGCCCAAGAGGTAGATGATGAACCCATTTGCCAAATGGGAAACTGAGGCACTACTATGCCTTCCCACAGGCTGTAAAAATGGTCAGCAACAGAATCAAGATTAGAAGCAGGAGAAGCCGGTTGCAGCTGTATACACGTGGCTGCCCAAAACATGTCAACGGAAGGACAGGAATACTGTTGGTCCACCTCTGCGGCTATGCTCTATCTTGCTCTGTGACACACACAGCTGATGGAGGTTTCAAACTCCATTTAAGGCTAACAGCACATCTATTCTCCAATGTCAAACCCATGAGATGAACAGGAGGAATGATTATTTGCAGTGCCATCCTCAGACTCAGGAATGTAGGCTATGTTGAAACTACATAGAATGTATTTCAATAAATGAGATCAAGACATGAAAAGCAAAATTAAAGGACATCTTATGCAATAATGAAAATTACAATTTTAGTTCAACATTTCTACTCTTATTCTACAAAGAGATGTTTATGCGTACAATTAAAAATAGATTATCAAACAGTTGGATTTGAAATAAAACACATCTGCATGCTGATGTGAGACTTGATCTGAATGCTCTTAAATTAGGAGGGAATAAACAGAGTATAATTTGACTGTGTTTTATACTGAACACATCTCTTTTGAGAATACAAAATGTATCCTTATTCGCTGCTAATGATTTACTGAGCTCTTCAAATACATTAAAGCACTAAAGAAAATTGGATTATTTCACCGAGCAGTGGTATTCCAAAAAAGCAATACGGCCAGAATGGAAGTACACTGGGTGGGGGATACTTGGTTGGGGATGGTTGGTGGGAGATGCAGGAAAATAAACAGCAGTATTGTTGTCCTTTAGGCTCATAAGAATGACGCCCATCGGTGCCAACCGCGCAGTTACTGTGTGAGTAGCCAGTACATTAGGGACACGCTAACATAGATGACACTCAGCAGGATCCAGTTTATTCTGGTGATGGGCGGCCTGCGGTTACCTGTCACGTGGAGGATGATATTGGAAGAGAGAACGCCACTAGAGTTTTGGGCCCGAGCCACATAGAGGCCCGCATCTGCCTCGCATACCTTCGGAATGAACACCGAATGTCTTGTCTCCTTGTGTAAAACCTGCAAGTGCCCATCTGCAGACAATTTCTGGCCCTTCTTGTACCTGAAGCAGAGAGTCAGTTTTTAGAGTCAGGATCACTGTTTATTCACATCATTTCCAAGTTCTAATAAGCACTGCAATTCGGCCCATGACTACTGCAATATTCTCTAGCATTAGCAGGAACTCTGCAGCAACCACAAATCCCAGTGGGGCTGTGTATCCTTCAAGCAGAGGTTGTCAACTGGTAGCCATAGACGTGCTTGATGGGCTCAGACTGTGTTTTTTAAAAACTGAATTTTTGGACATTTACCAATTAGAATATTGCATACGAAAATTCAGATATCCAACTCCTCTTAAAAAAACTGGGCCATCTGGTCACACTGGGCCACCATCTGCTCATGGCAACAATTACCCCAAATGGGAAATGGCACCTTCTATTTGACCTGTGTCATTCTTTCAGCCACTATGAAACAGCAGCTCAGACTCATCCCGCAAGATCCGCAGGAGAATGCCAATGCGCCGCTTTAGAGGAAGGTACTTACATAGCACTTCCTGGAGAGATGAGTTCATTTAATTTTTGTGAATTAATTTCATTAGAAGAAAATAATTTCTAATTATAAAAGCCATTTATTCAATTGGATTACTACCGTTAATGACAGGTTTCTAAGAGTTTCCTACGAATATGAGCACTTAGCTACATCATTATACAAAGCAAATGATTTGTTTATTTTGTATACTCTAGGTTCCTGTTTATCTATTTATCCCCATGTTCTTCCACACAAGAAGTGGTGACAAACCTGAAGCATTTTCTATTCCCGTTGCCTAGGTGATAATTTTGCATTTTTCTGAGTGTCCTAAGAATGATTCCCTGATAGTTTGCCAGTTGTTGACTGAGCAAAATTGTTGTAAATTCGAGGGCAAGATATTTTTTCACAATACTGCAGCAGTTCTTCCACAGTAAATACTAATCAAGTCATTTTTTGTGTGGACCAAAACAAGAAACACTTCAGACAACATTTTTCTTTGGAGTGAACTAATATTTAATAATGAATTAAATGATAATATTAAATAATAAATTTACTGATATTTAAATTCCTAAATACAAAATTCCTGATCTGTAAAAAACATGCAATTGTAAAAACAACAAAATAAGATAAAAAGCATAAATGGCTGCACTGTAACCCAAGTGCAATTTCTTTTAATAATCTGAGAAACGAACATTTTCTCATAAACTCTTTAGAGAGCTGATCCACACTTCAAGTACCATTAACAGGCACACACAATAATTGAAAGAGTTAATTTAATGTTTACTGAAATAGTATGATAAATAAATGCTATTTTACTTAGTTTATAAGTATAAACTCATGCTCACATATTTGTAACTTTGTCCTCAAATAAATATACTTAAGGTTGAAAACTTGAAAAATTTCTAAACGTTTAAAAGTAACCCACATATTAAGAAAGATAGAACTGCTTTTATGATAACAGTGATATAAAACCTGTGTTCTGCCGTTTACTTTCATTAAAACAAATTGGCGATGTGTCTAGAGTAAAACCACATTGTTCACAGCTCAGTTATTACATCACCTTTCAAAAACGGCTTTATTACCTGTCACTAGAAGCAACTGTGAAAGAAATATTTTTATTCCATCTTTCACACTGAAGAAATGTAAAAGAAGAAATCTTAGTGAGATAAATATTACAAAAGTGGCATGTGTGACTCTGTTGGAAGAGGGAAAAGATGGAATTGGTAAATTCCATTGGTAAATGAGAGAAAAGAGAAAAACCCAAATGCTTATGTTTTTTAATTGGATGTTAAACCAAGTAAATGTCATGCTTATGCAGGAATAAACAATAGGAAAGAAGTTCAAGCACAACCTTCAGAAATGCGGAATGTTAAACTGAAACCAAAAAATAGCACAACTAAGTTGCAGTGCTTTTGGAGTTGGTTAAATCATTATTTTATATGGTTACCTTTTCTTTAAGGGTATCAGCCATGCGGCTACAAAAATGAGAGTTGGGGGTTCGATGTGAGATTGAATCATGCAGCGTTGCAGTGACCTAGAATATTAATCAGCTACCCCTAAACCTTTAAGTTAGTGCACACAGAATGATTTGCTCAGTGATTCAATTTGTTTCTGTTTATGGCTTGTCATTATAGGCTACCCACCATGTCAGTGTAGGCTCTGGAAATCCTGTTACTTCAACTTCCAAAGTCACTGGAGAACCTTCCATGACAGTTACATTAGACAAGAGCCTGGAGAAATTAGGGGCCTGGCCAGCTAGGCTGACCACGCTGTTCTTTGCTGAGGTAACTTTAATCTCTTCTCTGGGAACCATTTGCCTCTGACAGGCCTGGCTGGGGCCTGGCTGAAACCCGAGGCCCGAGCATGCATCCTGGGGAGCATGCAGCCTATGTCGGGTTTTAGTGACGTTATTATCAGCATGCGTTTTCTCCGGTGTTTCTAGCAAACTTCCCTGAGCCTGGGGGTGCTGTTGCAAAGCTCGCGCATGCACTTCACCGCACATGCTCTCTGGAGGTTTAACACTGATTCTGTGGAAGTCAGTACTCTCTTCCGGAAATCTTCGGGATGTTAATGGGGGCTTAGCTTGGAACTGGGGGGAAGGCTTCTCAAAATGACTCGAAAATGTTTCTCTCTTATCATCGCAAGCATCAGCAAAAGCAGCAGGTGGCGGAAGGCCAGATTCCGGGGCCTCCCCTGGACCGCTGGTCCCTGTCTGCATCCCGTGGCTGCTTAGGTGCCGGTGGAGGGACGGGAGGGCACGCGCCTCCAGCTCCATGTCAGACGGAGCGAGGAGGGAATTGGGGCTTCCTGGGAGCGGAGGCAGGGAGACGTCATCGGGCGAGACACAGTCATATTCTTCTCCTGAAAGCACATCCACGGGCAGGAGCAGGCCTTGGACAGCACCCTCTGGGCCGGGGACCAGCTGCTTCACTTCCCGTGGAAGCTGACCCCCTCCTGCTCTATTGACCGCCAAGTCGTCCGCTGGCTTGGCCTGCTCCTTCAAAATGGAAAAGTCAAAGCTTCCAGTTAGTGGTCGAGTTTTCTTTTTCCAGATCTCAAAGTCAACCTCAGAGAGACAACTTGAGAAGACCTGCAGTGAGTGACAGCTGGGGCCCTGGCTCTGGCCTTACAGAACTTGAAACTGTTTGTCTGCTGAAGCTCAGCACAGCCCTGTCCCATGACTAAGGAAACGGTGTAAACCGACCTCCAGCCTCTGAGTGAGAGGTGACAGACCTTGCGACACAGAAGAGAGAAAGCCCTGGTTCTCGTCTCTCATGATGCGGTCTCGACTGGATCCGTGTCTTTCCAATCATGATCTGAGGAGTCTTCCTCTGCCAGCAAGTTCTGGTTTGGTTTATTTACCTGTCTACACTTCACAGCATTCGTGGTTCCCAAATATCAGATGTTCCCTTTTAGGTGATCCTCAGACCCTCCTAGAATAACCCTCCGTTTTTCTCAGGAAAGCCATTCTTTGTTTTTTTTTTTTAAATTATTGTGGTAAAATATACACAACCTAAAATTTACCATTTTAACATTTTTTAAGTGTACAGTTTAGTGGCATTAAGGACATTCACGGTGTCGTGCAACCAACACCATTGTCCATCTCCAGAATCTTTTCATCTTTCCAAACTGAAACTCTGTGCCCATTAAAGACTAACTTCCCCTTCTCCCATCCCCCAGTCGCTTCTACTTTCTGTCTCTATGAATTTGACAACTATAGGTATCTCATATAGAGAAAGCCAATTTTAATGACTGGTTTTATTTTCTAAAAGCCCCTTAGTTTTATTCTTACAATGAAAAATATCTATTGAGCACCTATTATATACTAGGTACTGTGCTAGGCATTGCAGAGATAAATGGTGAGTAAAAGTAAATATAATCCTTCCCTCTTGGAGATGACGGCCTAGCAGGGAGGTAGATATTAAGGGAACAATCCCATGTTGTGGACTTTCGCAGGAGAACACACCAACATACAGTAGAGGAACACTTGCCACTTGTCTTTCTGTCCCATGTGGAGCATAGGTCATTCTACGAGACTGAGAAAAACAGTGATCCATCTCACACTGTTCTAGTATTTCTCTCCACTCACTGACGTCCATCTCTGGTTTGAGACGAGGTTCAAATAACCCTTCTGGCATAGACTCAAAAGAATATTGAAGCTGAAAGGGATCTCATTGATCCCAACCTACTTGTTTTATAACCACTTCATTCTTTGCCTTTCCTCAGCATTTTGGGCACATTTTTCCTTAATTAACAATTACTGGTTTTTGTCCTGTGGCTACTACTTGCACATGAGTAAGTTATGTCTTGCCTTGACTTTGAGTTCTTCATTTTAGCCCATGGTCCTGTTCTGGACATATACTTTACAGGTGATTTTTGAGAAATAAATGTGTTTTCAGATTGAAGATTAGAAGCAAACCAAAACAATGTTCCTTCTACTATCCCACAGATATGACTTACCCTCAGAGAAAGCATAATCCCAGCTGAGAGAAAGTGGTTTCCTTCAGCCATTTAGAAAAAGTTTAAACCCTGGGTCTAAAGCCAGAAGTTCTTAAAAGTTTTTCTCATTAAAAAAATTACTAACAGGATAAAATATTTGCAGATGATGTGATCAACAAGGGCTCATACAACTCAACAACAACACAACAAAAATCTCCCAATCGAAAAATGGGCAGAAGATCTTAACAGACATTTCTCCAAAGAAGACATACAGATGGCCAATAGGCACATGAAAAGATGCTCAACATTGCTAATTATTAGAGAAATGCAAATCAAAACTACAATGAGGTATCACCTCACACCAGTCAGCATGGCCATCATTAAAAAGTATACAAGTGGGCTTCCCTGGTGGCGCAGTGGTTGAGAGTCCGCCTGCCAATGCAGGGGACACGGGTTCGTGCCCCTGTCTGGGAAGATTCCACATGCTGTGGAGCGGCTGGGCCCGTGAGCCATGGCCGCTGAGCCTACGCGTCCGGAGCCTGTGCTCCGCAACGGGAGAGGCCACAACAGTGAGAGGCCCACGTACCGCAAAAAAAAAAAAAAAAAAAAGTATACAAGTAATAAATGCTGGAGTGGGTGTGGAGAAAAAGGGAACCCTCCTACACTGTTGGTAGGAATGTAAGTTGGTGTAGCCACTATGGAGAGCAGTATGGAGGTTCATCAGAAAACTAAAAATAGAATTACCATATCATCCAGCAATCCCACTCCTGGGCATATATCCAGACAAAACTCTAATTCAAAAAGGTGCATGCACCCCTATGTTCATTGCAGCACTATTTACAATAGCCAAGACACGGAAACAACCTAAATGTCCAGCGACAGATGAATGGATAAATAAGATGTGGTACATATATATACAATGGAATGCTACTCAGCCATAAACAAGAACGAAATAGGGGCTTCCCTGGTGGCTCAGTGGTTAAGAATCCGCCTGCCAATGCAGGGGACACGGGTTCGAGCCCTGGTCCGGGAAGATCCCACATGCCGTGGAGCAACTAAGCCTGTGTGCCACAACTACTAAAGCCCACATGCCTAGAGCCCACGTGCCACAACAAGAGAAGCCTGCACACCTCAAAGAAGAATGGCCCCCACTCGCCGCAACTAGAGAAAGCCTGCGCAGAGCAATGAAGACCCAACACAGCCAAAAATAAATAAAATAAAAATTTTTAAAAAAGAACGAAATAATGCCATTTGCAACAACATGGATGGACCTAGAGATTATCATACTAAGTGAAGTAAGTCAGAAGGAGAAGGACAAATACCACATGATATCACTTATATGTGGAATCTAAAATATGGCACAAATGAACTTATCTATGAAATGGAAACAGAATCACAGGTATAGAGAACAGACTTATGGTTGCCAAGGGGGAGGGAGCTGGGGGGAGGGATGGAATGGGAGGTTGGGTTTACCAGATGTAAGCTATTATACACAGAATGGATAAACAACAAGGTCCTACTGTATAGCACAGGAAACTATATTCAATATCCTATGATAAACCAGAATGGAGAAGAATCTAAAAAAAAAAGAATGTATATATATATATGTATAACTGAATCACTTTGCTGTATAGCAGAAATTAACACAACATTGTAAATCAAATATACTTCAATAAAAAAATTACTAAATAAACACATATTCCGTAGGGAATGCCCCTCCTTCTTTTGGTTTTCCTACCACAGCTTAGTGCCTCTCCTTCCATCTCTCCCTGAATGTAGAATGTTTATTTTCCTTTTCTCAGAGACTTTGATCCTACAACCTCCTGTTCAGACTAAGGATCTCCTCTATGCCATTCTGACAGCCTCTGTTTGAACACTTTTTCTGAATGGGTGCTTTCTTTGAAAAGAAGTTTATGCTTTATTTGTGTTAAGAATAACTTCCTGTATTTATCACAGATCTGCCTTCACTCAGTATCCACCAATACATCAGAACTGACCTCTTGGAATGACATAGAAGATGTCCGACTGCCCTCCTCTTTTAACAGCCCTTTGACTATTTAGAGAATTGGTCCTGCAACCTCCAGGTCTTATTCTGCCTTAATTCCTGGAACTTTCTTCATTCTGGTCACCTTCGGAGGTCCCACTTTAATGAGCTACAAACTCCTTCATGGGTGGGGAGGGACATTTGTTGATCTGAGGGTCATGCAGGGGCAGGCAACTCCTCAATGACTTCTATGGGTAACATAGGCCCCTCTGGAAAAGAATAATGTGTAAAAATTGAAGTTTTGCAACAGGCTTAGGAGGAATTTGGATAAAAGTCTGAGCTAGTTTCCCTACTCCTCACTCGCTCCTGGGGAGGAAGTGACTTACCTAATTGTGGGTTTGGAAGAAGAGACTGAGCCTGCTCAGCTCTGTCTCTTTGAGTGCCTCTCTTTTGGATGTGCCTTCCGTCAAGTGGGTGCATCCACACTGGCTCTAATGCAGGAAAAACCTCTGTAAGGGAAGCCTGTGTTGTCTAGCTGTGCACCCAAGTGGCTGAGTAGACAAGTCTGTCTCAACCAGAGATGAAGTTTGGGGAAACCCACTAGAAAAGTCCAAGCCCTGTCCTCCAGTCCAGCTTTTACTGGTTACTGATTCCTGACTCCTGTGTCTCACTTTCAAATGGTGCTAAACTCAAGAAGGTAATCCAAGGATATTACTTTTTTTCACTCCCTATAATTCCTGAAGTAGAAAAATACTTTCCACCAAAAATACACTACCGGATAACTTCCACTGACAATAAGAGAGAGTTTTCTCAAATCTTTTTCTAGAAACATTTCAACTTTTGTTTATTTCCAGGATTTACTTACTTTTCAGGTGGAAAGTAAGCAGTGGAATCATCTCCTTGATCTACATGATATGTTTTTATGAAAGTGACTTTATTAGTTTTTTGTTTGTTTTTATAAGAATCACACGGGTCTATTGATTCACAATGTTTTTAATCAACTAAAATGTCCTACTTCCTCTGTCTATTAATACCACTGATAAAAGTGTTGAACACTGCAGAGTTTAGGACAAAGCCAACTGTCTCCCCAGGGCAAGGCAAACTGTCTTCCAGGTTGACACTGATGAACTATTTAACACGCTTGGGCACAATTATAACCTGACCAAACGCCCATTCAATTCACATTTCTCCACTTACCTTAAGAGACATATCGTGAGTGTGTTTATCAAATGACTTCCTGAAACCACAATAAATTTTGTCTATGGCACCAACCTAGAGTTTTCTATTAAATAATCATCTCAGAAAGCAAAATAAGGTGAATTTAACCCAAGTTTTTCTGAGTAAATCCCTGTTGGCTTTTGACACTTCTGTCTTTATTCTCAAATGCAAATAGGCGTTCAGTTTTTAAGTCACCATGGAATTTTACAAAAATCACTTTTAGAACTCACTGAACTATAGTTTCCTGGATATACTAATTTTCCTTTATGAAAATGGTTTCCAGACATTCACATATACCAACTATCTTTTATATTTCTCCACCATAAAGCCATTTTTTGCTATTAGGAGAAAAAAAG